TCACACTGGTGCGGTGCCACGATGCCCAATTACGGTTGTCAGGCGTAGCCGTCGCTGACGTTCGCATGGCTTGAAATTGAGTGTTACCACTCACCCATGTCTTCGCGTGTTTACGAGCAGTGACTCACAGTTAGGACGCATTCTCATGTATATTGTTGACTGATAATCGATGGTTTACTTTAAATCGCGTCTGAACGCAGCTTTGACGGTTTGACTGTCGCGTTTGAACAGCCTATAAGTTTGGCATTGCTTCCCGCATGTTTGCATTTTGAGAACAGAATTGCCATACATTATATTTGGTCTAGACATTCTTGAGGTCAGTAATACATCGGCACACTACTCTTTTGTACGATAGCATCGTAGTTCATTCCTCGCTTTGATGTTTGAATAAACTCGGAACTATTATGTGCTGCTCGAATTCAAGCGTGAAAATTGAACATTTTTTCCACTTACAGCTACCTAGCACAAACAACACCCGCTATATCTTTCGAGTATGAGCAGATTGTAATTGTCTGTCCATCGTTGCTCTCAAGGCCAGAATCACGGTGTTGAAAGGGCTATGTAAGCACCATCAGTTAATCCTTATGAAATGGCTCGGACCAGCATACCACCAATGATTCCAAATTGGAACGAAATCGCTTCGCATTGTTATGCTGAGAAGCAGCGTGTGAATTGTGGTATGAATTTATACAAGCAATAAGACTTATGTCACTGCTGCACGGCTGTTGAGGTTGTAAGTATTGTCGATCGGTATGGTTTAGGCGAACCCCACTGTTCAGCATTTAGGAGGTAACATTAATTAGGGATGCGTGTGGACGAGAGCCAGCTAAAGGAACGAAATTTTTGTCATCATTATTATGATTATTCTGTTGCTGTTCGGCTGTTTTATCGGACCTACACAACTGATTGTCCTAAAACACACATTGATATCGAAGTCCCTATTTAACATCCGTATGCAACCAACACGAAAAATTAAGCATGAGCCAGTTTAAAAAGCAAAGCCTTGAAAGTTACGGTTAACAGTAGAGTTATAATCGTAGTCCACATGGTTTCTGTAAATTTTCTGAGCCACCTGCCCTCCGGGAATGTTAGTTGTAAAATGACCATGAACTGCATAACAATGGATTGAGGTGTGTGAGCAGGCTCAGCATAATTGGGCAGTGTGCTCATCGGGAATACCAATCATAACGACTTAACGAAATAGCCACATAATCCGGGATTAATCGAGACTGCCGTCAAGTCGAGTTCAACGGCGAGGCAATTCGTAGCAAAGCATGAACGTACGGAGATGTCGATTCGGCCCTCCATTGATCGTAGGTGCAATATCCTCTGGTTGCAGCCAACAGTATTTAGATGCTGTTACGCACTGCCATGCGGTTAGACGTTGATGATATTAACTGAGTCTCGTGATACATGAAGACTCCGCAACTGAAATTGTATTATGGTCACCGATATGTCAGTGTACGGGGGGAAGGCGTGGGGTGATGTGCTGTGATGGCGCGCTCACCGGGAAAAATGGTACGCTCGCAAGTGCTTTGTACAGGTCGTTTACTACATTCAGACTCACTCATTATCAAGTTCGTTTGACGTTTTGTTTTGTGTCACCCTAGCTGTAACTGGATCCACATAAGCAGCAAGCGAAACCAGCAGTTGCGCACTAAAATGTGGACTGCGAATGCGTTTAGCCACATACGTGTGTAGGTGATCTAGCACATCTAAGTCTCGAAGTTAGCACGTGCTTAACCGAACGAAGAACTTTGCTCCGTCCTCAATGCTACACTCTTATGCTAAATACTTGGCAATTGATAGATGCGTTCCGACAGTCATACGTGCGCCAAATCAACTGCCTCTCTGTAGATGGCGAACGCTTGGCATCTCGGATATCGTTAACTCAGCTTGGAGGATTAGTCACGCTCAGTATCTGTATCGTGAGATGCATAAATAGTATTGTTCGTGTGTGCTATCGTCGATCATGTGTGAGTACCACTTACGTTGTAGGACCAGACAAGCAGACCCATGTCCAGTACAAAAAATAGTAGTTGCATGACATAACTATCGTGCGTGTCGGTTGATCTGTCATAGGGTAGTGGTTACGCGTATTGTGTGTGTATCGCGCGCCCTTGCCGGCACAACTCCTTGTGTCGGTCGCCCAGCTTCGATCTTCCAGGCCGTCGCGGTAGCACACCGCTTTCTTCGTCAAATAAGATAATAACTTCAGCTCGCCGGCTCGAGCGGTCTCCGAGTTGCACTCGTGGGAGTGTTACGATTTTTCGTTGCTCGGCATAGTTGTCAACATATGGTCTACTCCGCTAAAAGGAGCTGCCCGAACGGGACTTATGCTGAGCAATACTTGCAAGCGCATAGCACCGGTTAACCTAACAGGCCACGCGTCGTTATGCCTAATAGCTGAATCCACTAAGAATATGATGAAGTGCTGCTACGCTCTGACTGACTTAAAGTAGTTTAGGAGAAGTCCCACACAAATGACCTACGATCTTGTGTTCGAGTAACAAGAAGACATGCCACGGCCCCATGGAAACTCATGGGTTGATTAGCCCACAACTGGCTTTAACCGTATTGTACTACAAGTAACTGTTGAGTAGCACACGTCTCTCGCCAAGTGTGGAACATCCTCCGGATAAACTGGCTTCCATACTCATAACTAGTGGACGCACCCAATTCTCGTAACTTCGCACATTGTCCGTCGGTAACCCCCGCCCTCCAAAGAGCGGCAGCAAGCCCTCCCCCCCTACCCCCCCACGCCACGGAAGACTACACAGCGAGCACCGATGTAATCTCGAATGAACACGCTAGCACTGTACCTCATACTTACTTACGCCCTACGCAAACATGCACTGTTATTGCAAAGATATCGGATTTTTGCACATTCTTGATCACGCTTTGTTAAGTGAAAATGATCATGCCTGTAAAGGTGTGCCTCGGATTTTCGAGAATAAAAGCGTTATTTAGTTATTTATTTAGAAGATTGAACCAGCTTGTCTGGTGCTTTTTCAGCTGTGTCAAAACCAGTTAACTAAGAGAACAGCGACGAAATGACTGCAATTATACAAAACCCCCTACTACCACATAGTAATAGAAAAACCCCTGCTCAGATGTTAAATCCGATGGGTACCTAAAACGATTATGGTGAATGTTACTTTGAAATATAGGGCAACTGGTTATCCCACTGACACTTTTAGCGAAGCGCACGACCCACCATCAATCGTCTTTTGTTTCTTTGTGCTTCATCTGGATACAAGAAGAAAGTGGCAATGTTTGTTTTGGTAAACATCATTTGAGGTTAACCTCTGCGGAGGTCCTACACTTTTCGCTACAGTCCTGTCATCAAATTAGTGCCCACACTACTTTTCTTCTTCCTCATTAAGTTTCCTTGATAAAACTATTGTCTCTCGTTGGTTGTTGGTATATAATAGATAACGCCTCAACAATCTGGCTGACGATCAAACTTGCCAGTGCGGATGAAGAAAGCAAAATGATAAACTGACATGTTCACACTGAATGTGGCCAGTGGTCCGAAACACACTGTACCCGGTGCAAATTCAAAATTACAAAATATAAGGTTGCATTGGAATGGTAGATTGGTTGGTTTCTTCTGTGTTCGTTAGCTCGCCGGTAGTTTCATCTAACTTTGCATAACACATTGACCCCCACCCCTCCCACGGTTCTTCGATCGGTATAGCTTTGGATCAGAAGTATGCCCCCGTCCATTCTCCATTCTCAAGACCCTGACTCATCTCCCCCATACTTCTATATTCCCTCCGATCCCGTGTTCCCAATTTTTGACTATTAATACTCAATATCTTAAACACCCACCATCTTTCACCCCCTGTCTATATCCTCTCTATGTCCATTGCTCATGTCTCACTATTACCCTATTATAATTCTTTCCTCACTCACGTTCTATCACGCAATTTACATTGCATACACCTCATTCAACAACTTCAACCGTCCTCTCTCTTATCCCTCTTCCATACACCTTTTGGACTTACTATTTATTCCCATCAGTTTCTCAGACCCCTCCCCTCCATCCTTTCACCCCAACCCACAATTCTATTCATCCACCTCTCACTCCCCCCCCCCCCCTTACCACACCCCCCCCTCCCCCCCCCCCACCCCACCCTATTTCCTCCCCCCCTTAATTCTATTTTATACCCCCTTAATATATCCCTCTATCCCTCAAATTCCACTAACCCATCCCATCCCACCCCAACCCCCCCCCCCCTATCTCACCCTACCCACCCCTCAATTAAACCCCCCAATATATATATATATACCCCCCCCCCCCCCCCCTATGATCCAACATATAGAGATATAAGATATATCACCCCAACACCCCCCCCCAACTCCCCCTACCCCCCCCCCCCCCCCTTCCTCATTTTGCACTTCCCCCCCCCCTCACAAACCCGGTGTGTGTGTCTCTAGCAACCCCCCCCCAACACAAAATATGATATATATGTGTGTGTTATAGATGTAGTATGATGATATGTAGATCACCGTGGCAGAGTATGTGTAGCTCGACCTAGGTTTCCTGTCTGCTTTGATATGGATTACTTCAGACGGTTTATATATGAATTCGGTGTGTTAAATCGTCAGTTGTCCATAGACATATTGTCCGTAGCTTCATAGTCACATAGGTGTGCACATCTTGTCACCTAGTGATCAGCTATTGTACTCTGGCTATGAATGAAGCTACAAGATTGGTAAGAACTGAGACATAGCCTAATTGCACCGGTGGAATTCCATTATCGAATGAGGAAGTAATGCGGCGCAAGTTCAAGATCAAAAAGTCGCTTCTTTATTCAACCAACCGATCCAGTGGTAGTGCTAATATAATGCTACAGCTACTGGGTTTACCCAGCGTTTAGAGTGCTCTTAGATAGTCTGCAGGTGCGTATGCTGTCCGTAAGTAGTTTGTGTGCTTCTATGCTTGATGCCCTCTAACGCCCTATAACTGTACACAGTTTGAGTACGATTGCTGTTCAAGCGCCCCCCCCCCCCCCCCCCCCCCCCCCACACCCCCTTCCCTCCCCCCCCCCATCCCATGTGTTGTGTCCAGACTGAGTGAACTCGAGCCTATGATCCGCCCGCCCGCGGACACCGTACGCTCTCCCGCTGTACTGATGCTTTGTGACCGCTGCTCGTGATGGACCAAGGAACTGGGGGTAAGGGTTACCTAGCGGCATGAATAGAACATAGTGATACTCAGAACTCGTCCAGCGCCCCCCCCCCACCCCCCCCCCCTATGTGCACCAGTCTTGAGTCCTGCAAGCACTACTGTTGTTGACGCGCCTAGTAGCCTGCTAAGCGCGTAAAAATTAGCCCGAGGAGGACGCCGATAGGTACTACTGCCTTAGCAACCTGGTGGTCAAAAGTGTTATGGTATCAATCTGATCCTGAAAAGGTCTAGGTAGAGAGAAGATTAAAGTCGAAGCCATCAGAGTCCGCAAGCATCTATTGGATCCCTTACTTTCATAAATGAAATACGAACGGAGTACATATATGTGTGGACATCACTCTACCTGTAGATGTCTAGCTGACATACATTCTAATTGAGCCTCTGGTCCAAACAGGCGTTTTTACATTGCGTAGAGGTATGTCATCTGGAAAATCAGTGGTATTCGTGACACACTGTCTGCGCGTATATTCAAGAGAGTAGATTAATCTGATCGCTCTAGCTACTTATATGACGACGACGGGATAATCTGAGTGAGTCGGTGTATAGAGGCTGATGCGACCTGTCTGCTACATGGTGCAACTCATAGACAAGGGAAGGTCCATTCAGATTCAATTCGCCCGGGTCAGGTTGTTCCGTAAACTCTCGTGCACTGCGCTGTCGAGAATAGCTGCGTAGATAGACCTCTCAGATTAGTGGGTCGGGGGACCTCTGTATATATATGGACCCCCTGTTCGAATATCTGGCAGTCGTTTGTTTTGTGTGTGCCCCGTTGGCTACCATCTTGCCATGGACAGTCCAGGTCTCTCGCCCAGCAGGACCGACTGCTACTCACCACTGCATGTGTAAATACTGACCGAGCGAGTCACTGGGATACAGGAGCCCCCATAAGTGATGAGTGAAAGAAGTATATAGAAGACATTGCCAGTTCTAGCTTATAACCTACGAGAATTACGGTGGAGAAGTGTGCACAGGTCTAAGGCTCCGCTTAACCTCTATGGACGTAGAACCTACTGCTGTTGCTCTCGCATGGAGTGTTTGTGTGAGATGTGTGTGTGTATTGACTGTATACTCAAATGAGCTCTCGATCGCCTACAATGTACGCGCATAAATAATCCCCCTGTGTACCTCAGCAGTCGTGGCTCGCTCGACAGTTTTCTACGACGATTGGCTATCTCTGTTTTTTGTCATTATCGATGTTTCTCTTGTCTGATTATCAGGAGCCCGACCTTTTGTGGCAGGTGTGCTGGCTATGTAGATGTTGATCATACAATGGTATTCGCCTACGAGTGAACTAACATGCCCCGCTAAGATTTCTCATCGCGCCAGAGCGCTAATAAGCTGACTAAACTCTGATGTACAGTGTCCCACTAAAACCAACAGGTTGCCCCCCCCTCGTCATTGGCCCTTGTCGCAGACGCTAGTACGATCCGTCCGTGTCATTATGCGTTCTCTAGCGCGCTGTGTATCGTTAGCCCATATAGCGGCGTCACATAATGTGCGAGTATTAGCTACGCGAAGATGCCTTAAACCAGATGGACCTGAGCGTAGCTACTAGTTTCAAGAATATCTTGTTGACGATGGAAGCTACCAACCCATCTTGGCCCCCCCCCCCCCCCCCGGCAATGCGTTTTAGGGATGAACATATGTTATGTGCTGTCGCTACTGCAATACCCTGCGTGTTTGCTCAGCAATCTCTGATCTGCCACAAGATTGTATATATTTCTGCCGTTCTCGTCGGTGCTATAGACTTGTGTGAGTCGTCCTGTTCCTGTATTGCGCATGTAGAAATTATGATTGATCCCATGGTCTAGACTAGCATTTAATGCTGAGATTCTAACTGAAGTGTTATGATGTGCATAGTGATGTGTATTGTGCGCCCTTGTATCAGACCTCCTATATGTGAATCCAGGTACGTTAGCATTTAGTTCGGCACCGAGGATTACGAGACATGAGATAACGCCGACGGGTCTGTGGGTGTGGCCTGTGCGCACCTGTGGGATAAACTTTGACATTTTCCTGAGCCACTCTTGTCTCCATGATCACTAAAGAAAAAGCGCTCTATGCAGTGACCTTTTAATGTCACGCATCGAAGGTATTTGTGGTCTGATATACTTGCCTTTTAATTTTCACATGATACTGGCCGCATTCTTATATCCCTCCTTCGGACTCTGAGATGTACAGTATGCTGCATGGGATTACCTCCTGCCCCCCCCCCTACACTCACACAGCCCCCCGCCCCCCCCCCCCCCCCCCCCCCCCCCCCCCCCCCCCCCCCCCCCCCCCCCCCCCCCCCCCCCCCCCCCCCCCCCCCCCCCCCCGCCTGCCCCCCCCCGTGCCCCCCCCCCACCCCCCCCCCCTAAAAACGACCTTCGCTTTTGTATGCTAGAGTTAAGCACATAAATAGGCCTCATTATACACATCTTAAGGTGAGATAAATTAAAAAAAACAACTAATATAAAAATCTTTCCTTTCTTGACAACTGGCTGATCAGCAAGGTGCGAAACTTACAAACTGCGGTCATGCTGGTTTGCTTGGTCTTTAGTCGCTTGGTGGTTTTAGTAGAGTCCTGTTGGGGTTAACGAGATAAGATCGTGTGAGACGTATCTAGAGAAACATGCGTAGTACACATTGTGGCTGGAGTATCGTCCAAGTAGCATGACGCTCATGAGAACACAATGTTTGTCAGTGTGTGTCCTTGTAGTTGTAATATTATACGGGGTATCAGAGAAGTGTATTTAGCTCTCAGACTGGCAGGCACGTGTCTATCTGTTTCTAGCTTTGCATATTCTCGCTGTTAACAGTCGCAGCAGACTGTTAAAGTATCTTGTTGTGACACAGCCTCCTGATACGTAGCAGACATAGCGTGAGAGAGAAAAGGTATCGCCTAGTAGATTTTAGTAGATTTAGCCTCAGTGATGCCGTAGTTCTGAGAAATCCAGCGAGTTTGTAGTTCATCCTTTGCGAGAATTGACCCAACTAACCGGTTCACGTGAGCTTGACTAGCTAATTTGACGTGTCAGCGAGAAACTGTAAGTGAGCAAATATGCTCTAAAACGAAATGCTAATGGACAATGTTTCATCAAGTCATTTGTAACTATCCTTAGTTTGATTGAAGAGATGAAATAACTTGGGGGAGTATTCCACCGCTGACACACACGGTGATAAGACATTTCTACGGCATTCGAGCCCGCTTAACTGTATTGTCAGTTTCATAGGGTGGCCTACTATGTTGGCTTTGTGGTTTAGCACAAGCAACGGGCAGTAATAATGGACTGGGTTCTATAGAGTCTGTCTGACTATTATAAGATTTCTTTGTATGCGCTGATATCGACTGCTGTACTAGCGGCTTCAATCTAACCTGTTAAGGTAGATGGAAGACGCTCTTAACTTTCTTGAATGCTCTTGCTTTGGCTTCCCCAGAGCAAATAGATTCTGTTTCTACCACGGTTGTCTTGCCTGGATGACTTATTCCACATGTAGTAGCCCTTAGACTTTAAGAATTTGTGGGAGAATTGAGAGTTCAAACAGACCGAAGGCCCTACGAAGAAGGCTTAAGTGTTGATTGCTGGTTCTCGACGCCTTCTCTACTAGTTTCGAGCTCCAGTACGCTCCAGTACGCCGACGTCACGCTCCTGAGAAGCCTTCTACAACGTGTGGTCTCCAATTTCGTAAAGGCTCACTGGCTAATGACGCAGGTGAATCACCTTTCACTCAGCTGTGTTGTACTGGACTAGGTTCCTCGTTGACCATTCATAATTGCAGTTCAGGCCATGTTATAGTAGTTTATGATCTTACTTGGTATTAAACATTGGTCATATGTGGACGTTGTCGGCGAAAAGCTGGAAATTTGAGCAGATAACTCTCGTCAGGTCGCTGATAAAAGCTAGAACTAAGCGTGGTCCTATCATCGAGTTCCGTGGAACGCCGCAGTTCACCTCACTCAGGTTGGAGTGCGATCCAATAACACGCACTTGTAGATGTCTCTGTTGATAAAGATAGTTGGCAATCCTGAACAAGAACAGCATCTCCGATATTACAGTTCTGTAAGCTATGAAAATAGGATACGGTGTTACAAGCGGCCGAGAGTCTTGAAACAACTCCAGGTATACGATTTCGCTTCTACCCTACCATCGGCCACTTCCTTGCCATCAGTAGGTTGCTGGTGGTGCTAGGTGTTAACGTAAGCCATGATGCTCCGTGGAAAGACGTTGCATTTTCCAGCTAGTCCATTAGATACTCGATGACGACCACTTCCAGCACTTTTTAGAGCAAAGGGAGGAGAGTCACTGAGTGATAATTGGCCGTGTCTGAACGGCTACCGACCTTAAAAGTTGGGGGTAATGATGCCATGCTTATTTACAGTGGGGACATTTTGTTCATAGATGGTATTTGAAAGAATTGTAACAGAAGTACGGTTAGCTTAGTGGTGGTAGCCTTCAGTATTGTTTGGCGAATGTTGCCGGCTACCGCGTAGCTATGATTGCGCAGTGAGTAACACTCATAGCAAAGTTGCTGGGTTGAACATTAAATGTGTAAACCCTGGAGTCGTAAAATGAATTAGGGTATGTGACAGGTAGAGGCTGTGAGTAAAAACCTAGAGGCGTATTGTAGCCGCAGGGCATTCGCTGTTTCTTCGGAGCTTCGCACTCCGCCTTCTGTTGGGAAAAGTGGAGAGATGCCATAGTTTACTGTGCGAATGCAGCTGACATGTCTGTGCGGTAGTTTGCTCAATGAACAATGAATGTATACGTGTTAACAAGAGTTACTTTACTATTCCCGTTGGATAGTTGGTGACGGTATCGAAATAATAATAATAATAATAATAATAATAAATAACAATAATAATAATAAACAGTTAGTAATTGCCATATGAAAGTCAGGACTTATCGCTTGATCCGCCGTAGCCGTGCAATCCGCTTAGATACAGCAGACTAATCCCACTGAGTTATTCCACTGATTTATCGTATGCTGTGTGGCCGCACTTGAACCCGGCTCTCCCTTTGCCCTCTGTGGCCGCTATAATTCTCCCCATACAATATTGTGTTTGCGCCCATTCGAACCAGTTCGACGTGCTCTACTCAGTGCTTCCCAACTCTTGGAACTAACCATTGTGGATTATACTCTTGCTCCAGTTCCCAGTTTTCGGCATATTCTTTGCCGAATTCCACTTGTGTAACTACATGAAATCGGTTTTTCGGAAAAGATTTTGGTCTCATTCGGAAGAAGAAGCTGAGGGCTCCCCAACTACGCGTCAACCATCCCTGCATGTTGCAGCATAACAAAGTTGCGTCCTTTTTGCTCCGCTCATCAAATGAGCAGCTCTAGGGACGCTTATCAGCGCTCCACCTGCATCGTCGCTTAAGGCAGGCCGATCAACACACGCTGCCGCTTTCTGTGGGAGCGTGTGTTCAACTGCGAGTCAATTGGTCGCTGAACCTGACAGTGTGCGCGTTACGACCTCCATCTGCCTCTACTTCCTGACCTTGGTGAGGTTTAACAACTCTCAATTCGTGTGCGTGTTTTGACATCTTTGTGCGTCACGCCTGGCGCAAAGAACACTCATCAAGGTGAGCGCTCAAATAGACCTTGCTGCAAACAACAAGAGGACGACTAGCATTCCAATGGTTCAACATCGCCTATGTTACGCAGACAATTGCAGTAAAGTCCTCAAGATCGGTATAACCTGTTCTAGATGCATTAGATCACACTGTCCGCAATGTGTAGGCAAATCCGTGAAACAGACAAACAAAGTTGCTGACACAATTTGGTTATGCCCAACATGTGAAGTCATTCCAGTTGTCAACTGTTTACCTCTGCTCATGAAAAATTCCGATAGAATGATTGAGATAATCGCACATTTTGCAAATACTAAGATCGACCCCACTGAGGTACATATGGCCACGACAATACCTCAACAGCCAAAGTAAGCTCCAGATCTAAGCCGAAGAAGAGAGCTAGACCTTCCAACCACACTGCAGCGTCTGTGACTCTAAACCCATTGCGTCACCTCACTCCCATAAGTCACAAGCCTCAAACATGCCTGCTTCCACTTCTCCCACCGTTGGCGCTTCACTTGGAGATTCAGCCATGACACCGACAGCTCAGAGCCGAAGGCAATCCGGTGCAGATAACAAGCAGGTAACGTACGCATCGATTGCCTCGACAAACACACCGTGTGCGACACACATAGGCCCATCTTCTGTACCGAGCATGCGTGGCGCAAAGCAGCTTTCACCCTTAACTCCAGTGGTGCCTTCTAAACAACCCGAATTGCCGACAAAATGTATAAAGCCAACACTCGCTAGACAAAACCACGCTGCCTATCGTGTGCACCAATGTTCCCGAATCCAAATATGACACAATAAAAGGCAAGTTGCAAGACGATCGCAACCAGTGGAGTTCCATCTGCGATGCGATTGGTATTCGGGTTGAGCCTGCAATGCTGCAACGCGTAGCGCGTCACCCGACCTCAGCGCACTCTGGTAAACCTCGAATTTTTCGAGTAACACTAGACTCAGCGGATGAGACAGAGGCTGTCTTGCTCTCAGCAGTTCGTCTTCACAATTCACCGATCGGCGTGCGCATATTACCTGATCTACCTTGGAAAGATCGCCCAAAAGAAGCAGTTGAGCAGCGCGGCATTCCTAATAGGGATAGCAAGAAAACAATATTTGTTCATGGTCTTCCCTAGCTTCTGCATTCTTCTGATCACGATGCGCAAACACATGACAGAGACCAGTGGTGCTACATCTGCGAAGCACTCTCTGTTGACAATGTTATTGCCATATCCTTGACAAGAGTTTCGTCATCACCTAACTACAAGGGCTGCGGTCCAAGGCTAATGAAAGTAATACTACACTCCGAGGGAATGACGCAAGTTCAGTTGGATAGCTAGTTATAGTTTCGAGCTAGGTTGCCAACAGAGATCCGGCTAAAGGCAGCAGGCGAACGACCAAAAGTCGGAAGCAAATCGATGGTACTTGCAAACGCTACTAATTCTTTATTTGCACAGTCCTGCGGAGAGACCGACACAACCGCGCCCACCGTACACAACAGGACAGAGTACAGCGCGAGTGAAACGTCTGTTCAGGAACGCTCACTAATCCCATGCAACTTAACTGAAATACATACACCAAAAAGCGATTAATGACCAGCAACCTAACAGCCGACTTAAAAACTAACACAAAGTTAACATTTATCAACGCACTCCTAACAACAAAAGCTCTATCTTGCATGTACACAAACGCCCAAGGCCTTCGAAGCAAGTTGGCCGAACTTAGAGAACTCCATGCTTCACAACCGCGGGACCACGTCATGATTACAGAGACATGGTTAAACCCCGAGATAATTGATTCTGAGATCAATTTACCCGGTATGTCGCTGCTTCGGACCGATAGGACCGGAAGGGGTGGCGGTGTGA